GTCTGGCGGAGTCCGAGTTGCGAGAGCGTAAACCTTAAACCCTAAACCCTAAACCCTAAACCCGAAACCCCAAACCCTAAACCCTAAACCCTAAACCCTAAACCCCAAACCCTAAACCCTAAACCCTACGCCCTTTACCATCAACAGCAGTTTCACATCGGTTCCGTCATCCTTGGGGTTCTCGGGCTCTTCGCAAAGCCACTCCCCCGGATAGGTCGAGCTCTTCCGGGGCTCTACGAAGAATGGCGTCAGACGAGGCCGGATCAGGGTTTTAGGGTTTTAGGGTTTTAGGGTTTTAGGGTTTCAGGGTTTTAGGGTTTTAGGGTTTTAGGCTTTAGGGTGTAGGCTTTGGGTTGAGGTTTCAGGGGAATAATGCTCAGAAGGGTTTGTCTAGGTGGGCTGCATCAGCTTCTTTTGAAGAAGGGCTTGTCGTCTGTTTTGAGGCGAATATGGGTGGGCCATCTTTTCTTATATGATACGGGTTTCCGTGAGGTCAGCATGCTTGAGGCTTTCGAGTCATCTTGGATTTAGAATCCCTGCTAGGGTAATCAGCGTGAGAGGGGCCACCTTTAGGGGTGCCCAGGAGGGTTTAGGGTTTAGGGTTTAGGCTTATTTAGGGTTTAGGGTTTGGGGTTTAGGGTTTCGGGGTTTAGGGTTTGGGGTTTAGGCTTATTTGGAGACGTGCCCAGTGGTGATGGATCACTGCAGCCTTTCCAGAGTGCCGAGTGAGTGGCTTTGTGAGAGTCGCCCAGTAGCTGACGCACCTTGAGTACATCAACCTGTTGCTTTAGTCAGGTTGAAGGTTTAGGGTTAAGGGTTTAGGGTTTTAGGGTTTAGGGTTTGCAGTCCCTGCTCAAAAAAAGGTTTAGGTTTAGGGTCGATTCTGTACCAACTTCAGCCTTTTCTATGTTTCTTGCTGTAGGATCAGTTTATGGGGCCCCGCCCCAAATCAAACGCTGCGGTCTAAGCGCACTTCGCGTACCTGCTAGATATGATGCAACCGCGTACGTCCCTCTTCAAGAGGCCTTGGATTCTAGGGATTCCCGGGGTTGATCGGAACCCGAGGCCACCCAACCCAACCCTAAGCCCTAAACTCCAAATCCTGAACCCTCAGCCCTAGGCAAAAACACCTAAAACACCCGGAACACATGCAGCCAAACTGGAACTGGATTCTTTGAATCCCTGTGGAGGAAGCGGCCGTGGCACCGGGGAACGACGACTGGTCCATGCAAGCCGCTTGGTACAATCCACACCTGAAGCCTAGCCCTGAACACTGAATCCTGAGCCTAGGCCCTAAACCCTAAACCCTAGGCCCTAAACCCTGAACCCTAAGCCCTCAGCCCTAAACCCTAAACCCTAAACCCCAAGCCCTGACTCTGAACCCTAAGCCCTAAACCCTGAACCCTAAGCCCTGACTGACTCTAAGCCCGCAGCCCTAAACCCTAAACCCTAAACCCTGAACCCCAAGCCCTGACTCTAAACCCTAAGCCCTAAGCCCTAAACCCTAAACGCCAAGACCTGGTCCCTCAACGCCCAAAAACCCGAAACCCTAAATTCCCAGTTGTCTTCCAGGACGCCAGAGGGGATCCTTCCCCTTTTGGCAATCCGGGGCTGGTTTCCACACATAGCTACTTGGAGGTTCATGGGTTTACGGTTTAGGGTTACAAGTAGGGTTATGAGTCCCCTAATA